GCGAGAGGTTTAATGGTGGCTTCCTGACTGACAGGCAGCGGGACCGTCCTCCCTGTGCCCTGGGACTGTGGGGCCCGGGACGGGGCTGGTGCCCAGAGCCTCTCGTGTCCCGTGGACCGCCCCCCACCCCCCTACCCCCAACGTGGGGCAGGTGAGCGGCCGCAGCCCCAAGGGCCCAGCCCCGCACGCTCCTGGGCGAGGTCGCAGGGCAGAGGGAGACGGGCCTCCTGGGGCTCTGCAGGCACCAAAGCGGCCAGGGACCCAGGGGCGTGGCCGTCCGGTCAGAGCCTCCGGGGCCGGCCAGGCCAGCGGCCGAGGTGTCGGGGGCCGGGAGGTCGGGAGGAAGGAGTGTGAGCTGACGCTGCCGGACTGGCCGTCCCCACGCGGAGTGGCGGTGCCTGGCTCCGCCCCCCGGAGGGCGAGGACATCCCCTGGACCGGAGACCCCAGTGGACGGGCTGGAGGCCAGGACCCGCCCGCTTCCCGGGTTAAATCAGCGGGAACAAGGCCGCGGGGACGAGGACCCCCCACATGCTCCCACAGGGACGGCCGGGAGGGGCCCCGGCTGGTCCGAAAAAAAATAGCATATTAGCCTTTTATGTTTATAGATTATTATTTTTTTTATTTTTATTTTTTTACAATATGGCACCTATCATTCAGAATAGGGAAGATCATAATCCTAGATAAGAACATAGGAGAGAAATGGAAAAGTTAGAGAAAGGAAATTTGTATAAATCTTTCACTCACTTTTGAGGTAGTCAGATGCCAGGGTCCAGCCCCAGCGGGCGTCCTGCAGGGGGAGGGAGAGAGGAGATGAGGGGTCCCCGAAGCAATCCCAAGGTCTGGGCCCCCAGGGCACCCCCGAGGCCGTGGTCCCCGCAGATCCTGGAGGGACGCCCCATGTGTGGAGTCTGCAGGACAACCCCCCCTCCCCCCGCAGAGCCTGGGGAAGGGGTGCTCAGGAGGGGTACCTTCTGGGCGCCCTTATTTAAAAAAATATTTTCATTGATTTCAGAGAGAAAGGGAGGGGAAGAGAGAGATAGGAACATCCATGATGAGAGAGAATCACCCATCGGCTGCCTCCTGCACGCCCCCCACTGGGGATCGAGCCGCAATCCAGCATGTGCCCTTGACCAGAATCGAACCCGGGACCCTTCGGTCTGCAGGCCAGCGCTCTATCCACTGAGCCACACCGGCCAGGGCTGGCCCCTTATGACCTGGGCCCCGCACAGGAGAGGGAGACGAGTGTGGCCCAGGAGGTCACGGGGGCGGTGTGAGGCTGTGGGTGAGAGGAGGGGTGCGGAGGAGTCCGCCCGGCTGGACCCCGTGGGAGCTGCTGGATGGACGTGACGTCACGCAGGGCACGGGGCAAGGTGGGAACTGGAGCTGG